CTTTAGCAGCACAGGCTATTCAAGAGGAATCATTTTGTGTGATATGGTCACAGCTGCTCTCAATGTGAATGGTGGTGACTTGCTGAAGGCAAGAAGCCTATTCCAAACATGCCTTGAATCTGCCTGGGGGAAAGACAGTGAGGGTGTCAGCTATTGTTTGGAGAGACTGGGGAATGCCTCCCTCTGGCTTGCTATAGATCAAGTTTCATCCAATTGGACAGTGATATTTCTGATCCATAGCCTCAAGTCAAAGCAGAAGCTGGAAATACACAAAGCTCTCCAATTTCTCGGAGATGTATATCTCGCAGATGGGGACCAAGAGACAGCAGCCAGTCTGCTCACTGTTGCTCTGGAGGGATTCACAAAGATGGATGTCCATCGCAGCAGAGCAGAATGCATGTTTCGATTTGGAGACATCTCTGAAATGAATGGGGACCTCCCTGAGGCAGCAGAACTGTGGAGAACAGCAAGACCATTATTTGAACAATCATCACAGACCAAGCAAGTTGTTCACATTGATGAACGACTTGCTAGGATGAGCAATCTCTTGGAACACCATCCAGAGTCCTTCATCCAGCTCTCAGCTCTCAATGCACCAATGACTCGTCTGGAAACTGCAGATGTTGAGGGTAATGGATGACTTTCCATAAGCATTAAAAAATCTACGGGGAATATTTTCGTTCATTTCGGCGAGATGCCGAGGCAGCTGTCAGGACCCCATCGGACTTGGATCTCGGTTTTCCAAGTGTCGACCCCTACATAAACCTTAATTTATTGTGAATCTGAATGGGGGGTAGGAACCCCCCGTTCAGATTATAATAGATGGCTTTTGCACGGAATAAACGAGTTGGGCGAACCTCCGCCCGTCACTTCGCCTAATTGGGTTGCGTGTACGGTGTCACGTAGGCCACAACTCACTCTGGTGCTCTCTGGTGCGATTTATTGCATCTCCTTAGTACCCCCCTCCTCAACCCCAATATGAGCGCTATGGTTTCACAGCAATAATGGGCTTGGATGTCTCCTAGGGAAATCATGGCCATTGCAAGAAGCCGTTCAGTCTCCATCGGACCATCTCTTCCTCCTCCCGTTCCTCCAGCTGGTGGTGGAGAGCAATTCTGTTGATATACATTGGTAGACGCGATGGGTGCAAGTGAGACCCGTTGTTTACAAGCGGCAACCACCGGATTAATTATAAGACATGATTATTTTATGCCGTGGCTTGTGGGAACCAACAACGAATAGATTTTCAGAGTAAACCATGCATGCCGACATCGTTGGCACCCCCAAATATTCCGAAAAACATTTTTTATCCTTATGGAAAGTCATCCAATAACACAAAGGCTGATTTGATTCTCGCCTAACTCTATTATTCCATGGACTTTATCTTTTGTGATTTACTGTCTTATTTCCACATTTACCAGTATATATTTATTGCAGTTACAGTAGGCACATTTGTAGTTTCTGGTATTCTACATGACACGCACGGTGCCTTGACCACAGTCTAGTTGTGTTACTGCATGTTCCTGTTTTCTTAAGTAGTTTCTGTGCTGTTCTGAGATTTGCCAGTATGTAGTTTATTGGCGAGGACTAGATATGTAGCTGCAGTGTTCTATATATATGTGTTGGATTCAACTGATCGGTCTAGCATATGAGGATTTGGTTTTAATAGCATTCCCATTCAACAATAAACTCGGCCGTTTACAAGCTTAGAGTTAAAAAAGGTGGGAAGACAATGGACAACGTGGATGCGGGAATTGAACCCCATTTGACTGTGCATGCTTGACATTGAATGGAAATTCAATATTGAAAGCAGTGGTCCGCCGGGCACCATGTCCGATTTCTACCTCCGTTCTGCACTTGGATTTATGCAGATTTTCCCCATTCCCCTGCCTGTCTTTAAAAAAAGTGGACACAGAAGAGTGAGGCGGATGCGGGGAGTTGAACCCCGTGCCACTGATTCAACAGAATGGACAGGAAATTGAATTCAGTGGTGCACCGTGCACCACGTCCGCTTCCTATCTTCCATCCACCCCTCTTCTCATGCAAGGATTTAAACCAAGCCTTGAAGCGAAATAAGATTACAGAAGAGGCGAGTACTCCATGAACCCAGACGCGGGGAGTCGAACTCTGTTTGACTGCTAACTGCGTGAAGACATGAATCACCTTTGAATGCAGTGGTGCCCATGCACCACATTCGCTTCCTACCTCCCTTCTACCCCTCTCTTTATCCAAGGATTTAAAGCCCATAAAACATGCGGACATGGGAGTCGAACCCCATCAGCAGCTTGCCAACCATGAGCTTTTCGCATTGAAAGCACTGTGCACTGCGTCCACTTCCTTCCCCCATTCCTCTGTTCCCCTTCCCCAGGTTTTGGAGGTATTAGTAGAAAAAAATCACCTGCATGGCCATGCGGATGCAAGGAATCAAACCAAAGTCGAACCCCTTCAACTGCTTGTATTTATCCCACACATACATCTTATGAGATGCATTGGTGCACCATGCACCACATCCGCTTTCCCTTCTGGCCCTCTCTTCTCATGGAACCTTTTCACTTCCAGAAAAGGGGGGTGGGTGGAAAGAATGGTCATGCGGACGTGGTATGTTTAGTTCCATTTCAACTCTCCAGATTGCAAGCTTTGGGATTCCGAGAAAAATTGGTCTGACAGGATGTGGATGTGGACACGGGGAGCCAAACCCCATCAACTGCTCACGTTTTCAACCTCGTTTAAATGCTACAGTGGTGCACCGTGCACCACGTCCGCTTCTTGCCTCCTTCTTACCCTCTTCTCATTCAAAGTTTGAAGAGCTTTTAAGAAAACAAAGTGTCAGCGCAAGATCAGGGAAAGGCGGACACGAGGAGTCGAACCCCGTTATACTCCTTCAACTTTCGCATACAATCGAAGGCAGCGGTGCGCCGTACACCCCTAGGTCCGCTTCTTACCTCTGTTCTGCACTTGAGTTTATGCGGGATTTTAACAGTCTGTGATAAAAACCAGTTGGTTGATTCAGAATGCGGACGCAGGGAGTCGAACCCCTTCAACTGCTTGTGATATTCGTCGACATTGATGAAGGCAGGGTGCACCGTGCACCACGTCCTTCCTAGCTCCCTTCCTGCCCTCCTCTCATCCAAGTCTTCCGCAGGCTCTCAGAAAAAAAGGATTAAAGTGATGCGTAATGCGGATGCGGGGAGTCGAACCCCGTTGGACTGCTTCAACTACACGAAGATATGCAAGAAAGGAAAGGCAGTGGTGCGCCGTGCACTACGTCTGCTTCCTACCTCCTTTCCTTTCCTCTTCACATCTAAGTCTTTCGCAGCCTCCGACAAAAAGGATCAGCAGAGAGAAACAGGCGGATGCAGACGTGAGGAGTCGAACCCCGGATTACTGCTTGCAACTTCCAGGGATTTTGGTAATTGAATGCAGCGGTACGCCACGCACCACGTCCGCTTTCTACCTCCATTCCTTTCCTCCTCTCATCCAAGGCTTTTTGCCCGCGAGAGAAAAAAAAATGACAAGGTACTGGGAAGTAGTGATGTTCTGGCTTTGGCCTCGGGCCAAAAAGCCACGGCTTTCTGGCTTGGCCTTGGCTTTGGCTGGCCTGTAACTGACTTGGCTTTGGCCTGGCCCGGGATTTTGCCAGGCCAAAGCCAGAAATTGCCATCAAACCTTGATCAAACCAACATCAAACACCGCCAAAAGCCATGGCTTTCTGGCTTTCAGGCCAAAGCCAGCTTAAGCCAAGCCAAAGCCATGTGGCCTGGCCTCGGATTTTGGAAAGCCAAAGCCATGGCTTTCAGGCCAAGCCAAAGCCAGAACATCACTACCAGTGGGAAGGGCGGACGCGGGCAGTCGAACCCAAGAGGTACCCGCCGGAGAATGCCGAGACATTAGGTAAGAGGGGAGGGGGGGGGGTCTCGAGGTCCTTATTTCACTTTTTGGAAAAAGCTGCAGGACCACTCAAAAACATGTTTAAGACAATTTTAAAAAGACCCCTTTGCCTTTTTTTCCCTTTTTCTTTAAGCGGCTGTAGGTTGGCTGTAGGTCCTCGGGGAGCAAGTTTAGTGTCGCCCATCCCCATCCGTATCACATCCAGCGATAGCTGTGTTGCTAGATCCACCAATGCAATTGACATCAATCCCAAGCGCATATCCTTGTCTCTTACCACCATCATGTCGAGCGCTCATTTGTGTTGCGCGGGGTTGAAAACTCCTCCTTCCGAGTGGTACTGCAATGATGAGTGCTGCACAAATGCTGGCGGAAGGGTTCATAAAAAACATCACTCTGTATCCTAGCGGACAATATGGGGGATTTATAGGAGCCAAACCGTTTCTATTTCACTGCGACGAATAATTACTTGAATGCTGAGGACAATTGAACGAAATTACCGCTTTTGGAAGGCACGTGCGCTTATGTAATACTTATGTAAAGAGGGGGGGAGGGGGGGGCGATGAGCTTAAGTCAGTTTTTATACCTAGTGTGCCAAATTTCTCAGGTGGGTACCTCTTGGTCGAACCCCATCAACTGCTCGCAAACTTCTGCTTCCCTTATCAAATGATACAGTTGCGCATCGTGCACTACGTCCGCTTCCTAGCTCCCTTTCTGCCCTCTTCTCATCCAAGCTTTGAATGCTTCGAGAATAAAAAGGCAAGAATGGGCGAAGGCGGACGCGGGGAGTCGAACCCCGCAACTGCTTAAATCCGGCACTGATCACTTGTATGGAGTGCAGCGGTGCGCCGTGCACCACGTCCGCTTCCTTCACCCGTTCCTACCCTCTTCTCATTCAAGGATTTAAAGGCTTTGAGAAAAAACTTGTCGGAGAAAGGCAGAAGGCGGACGCGGGGAGTCGAACCCCGGTTTAATGCTTCAACACTGGCAGTATCTACTGAGAAATTGAATGCACGCCGTACACTATGTACACTACGTCCGCTTCTTACCTCCCATTTAGCCTTCTTACCCTCTTCTTACAGGCCTGGATAATAAAAAAGGCGGAGACCGAGCAAGGCGGACGCGGGGAGTCGAACCCCGTTTGACTGCTTTTATACACTTCCAGAAGCTTTACAGAATGCAGCGGTGCGCCCTACACTACGTCCGCTTTCAACTTCCCTGCCTTGCCTCTTCTTACGCAAGCTTTTTGGATATTCCGAGCCAAAAGAAGAGAAAAAACACCAAGGCCCAAGGAGATGCGGACGCGGGGAGTCGAACCCTGTTCAACTGCTTGCGACATTGCGGCAATTCAATTGAAGGCAGTGGTGCGCCGTGCACCACTTCCGCTTCTTACCTCCCTTCTGCACCTCGATATCTGCGGGATTTTGGAAGCCTTTGAGAACAAAAAAAATGGTTGAGACACTGGCCATGCGGACGCGGGAGTCGAACCCCGCTCACTGCTGCTTGAACTTGGACCACAATGTGGAATTGAAGGCAGCTGTGCACCGTGCACCACGTCCGCTTCCTACCTTTGTTATGCACCTGGGGATGTGCAGGATTTTTGCAGGAAAATATCAGTAAAAGAATATGAAGTTATGGCATACTCTGCCAATACTAAGATATGAGTGATGTTTCGTCGCTCATAATCCCGATTGATCATGAGTGGATTTTCGCAGGCGAAGCGAATGTCATTTATATTCATACGTAGAGAGGCGTCAATCGGATGATCGCCAGCGTTTGTAAGAACACATGAAAGAAAGAGAAGGCGAGCTGGCGCTCCCCAACCCGAAGCGCCTCTCGTTGCCCGCGGCGCTCGACCTGCGCCTGCTCTCTGTCTCGGGCGGTGCGACCATCCCGCCGTCGCCCTACGCCCACGCAGACTACGCCCACGGAGAAGACGGGGACTCACGCCGCGGGAGCTACGACAGCTACGCGTACGACACGTACTCCCGCGCGCTCGATGGCTTCCCCGCCCATCCCCTTCCCCACTCTCACTCCCATCCCCTCTCCGGGTCCCACCCGCACCTCGCCCACCCGCACCCTAAGCACCACCACCACCACCACGCCCACGCCGGCTACGAGCAGCACTTCCCGCTGGAGACGGGGTACGCGCTCAACCCCCACCACCACCTCGATTCGAGACTCGCACCCCGGTCTCCACCACCACCTGGATTCCTCGCACGCGCACAGACCCGCGCACCCCCCGACGCTCCGTGTCGACGCGCTCGGCCTGCGGCGCCCCGCGTCCAGCGGCACGAGCGCGACGAGCAGCTCGAGCTCGAACTCGCGGAGTACATGTAGTGCCGACGAGGCCAAGTGAGTCTTCTCGCGTCCCTTCATGGTCTCGTGGGTTTCTTGCCTGCTATGGTATTTGGGGGAAGTTTTTCGTTTTCGTCTGTATTCCTGCTCAAGAACGTGCTTAGGTACAGCACCGCCGTCGCGATGCGGACGGGCGTGGCCTCCGCCTCTTCTTGTGATGCCGCGGCGTGCTCCGGGAGCCTGCGAGCGAGCCTAGGTCGCTCGGCGTGCCTCTGTTCGCGGAGGGCACGCAGTCCGACCTCGCCAGTCCATCCTTCTCGCATCCTCCTCCCATTCCATTCCGTGTCTGTCTAGATGTGCAATGTTCTTCTCGCGCAGGCAGCGGTCGACGGGGACGAATTCGGATCGCGCAACTCGCTGTGCGCGACTCTGTCCCTCGATTCCCTCGGCGCTCTTCGTCGCGAGACGTAGGGTCCTGTGGGGCGAGTTACACGGGGCCGCAAGCCCGAGACGGTGGCTTGCTGGACGCGCACGGATCGAGAGCGCGCGCAGGGGGCGCCTTCTTGGGAGCGGAGTCCCCAGCGCTGAGGCTTCCGTCCTTCTCCGCCCCGTCGGCGTTTTCGCCAACGGGCGGTGGCGCCGTGGTTCTGGATGTGCCCGGAGTGTGCGGGCATCTGTCCCGTCCTGCGAGGTGCGCGAGCCTCGTGCGCAATGCGCGCTTTACCTGCACTCATTCGTCAGCTGCGGGAGCGCACCGTGGGCGGAGTTACGTACTGTATGCGTCTTGGGCGTTCGCGCCGCAGTGCTCGTATGCGCTCGAGGCGCGGGCTTGGGTATGCGCAGGAGGGGGGCACGGATTGCGGAGGCGGCGAAGGCGGGCCTTGCCTGGAGGGGGGCCTCGTGCACGCAGCGTACGGGCGGCGCAGCTCCCTGCCTCCGCCCTTCGCGCAGCCTGCTTGTCCTGTCAGCGGGGCCTCGCGCCTCGTTTCTTGATGCTTACCTCGTCGTCTCCTCTCCTCTTCATCTCCCTTGTGTCCTCCCTCCGCCTCCATACGCACAACACATGCTGACGCGCGTTTGCAGCTACAGCGCCCCCTCCGGCTCCGCCGTCTCTGAAGCAGACTCAGACTCCCCCTCGGGCTCGGAGTGGGACGCGGGCGTGGGCTGGGGAAGCTTCCCGCTCTTCCGCTTACGCACGCTGTGACCTCCCCTCGTCCTCGCGCGCGGCTGGTCGCGCCTTGAGGCTTGAGGCTTGGACTTTTTCCGTGTAGTCGGCGGGATGGCGCGCCTGGGCCCTGGCGGATGGGCATTGACACCGTTGTCGGCGGCGGCGGCGTCGATGGACTGCTGGTGGCCTGAAGAGGAGAGGCAAGGAGAGGCGAGGAGAAGACGCTGGCGCTGCTGCTGTGTCGAGCCTTATCGCTGGTGTCATTGCGGCTCGCGCGCCTGCTTCATCTTATCGTCGCGCGCGCGCTCGAGCCTCGACGTCTGCCTTGTTTTGGGAATGGGCAATGGGCATGGAGCTATTGAAGGGAAGGGCTTCATGTCCTTCGTGATCGGTTTCTTGGGTACTCGGAGTCGCGGGTAGGGCAGCTTGGTGGAATACGGTGAAAAGATGCGTGGGGGCCCGGGGAGGGAGATCACGCCGACGGGATTCTGATGGGGAACGGCATCCACGGTCATGTGATTTGTACAAGGATTCGCGAAGACGCGATTGGGCGACAATGCGCGATAAATTTTCGAGTTCGAACGCTTTGAGCTGCAGTATTTAGGCCACACCACGGCGCACCGTTGCATGGGATAGGTAGGAGTATTTTTGGTGTATTTTGGGCGAATTGAAGTTTCGAACGCCCAAATGTGAGTAAATCACTGTATTAAATCAAACAACGGCCGAACCCCGCAACCAACCCGCAACTGTTTACAACCTCTCACACTGGTAGCATCGATCGACAGCAGTGGTCTACGTCCGCGGGTAATACCTTGTTCTTGAGGTCGGTTCGTCTGCCAGTGGGGTTTTGTAGGATTTGTTAGGAAAATTATATAGCACTCAATGGAAAGGGGGACGTGGGAGTCGAACCCCGTTCAACTGCCAGTGCATGTATTCCCATTCTCTGCTCATGGATCACAGCTGTGCGCCGTGCACTACGTCCGCTTATTTCCTCCTTTGCTCCGTTCCTCTTGTCTTCAAGCTTTAGGGCTTGCAGTGCCTGTGAAAAAATACCAATGTGCCAGACTGTGCGGACGGGGGGAGTGGAACCACCTCAAGTGCTTGACACAATTTCCTAACCATGTCGGCTGCCAAATTGAGGGCAGTGGTGCGCCATGCCTCACGTCCGCTTCTTACCTCCCGGCTATCCCTCTTCTCATTCGAGCTATATATACACTGCGTTCAAGCTGAGCGTCGGCCCAGCTCGGCAGACGCTGCCGACCTGCGCTGAGCTCTGTCGACCTCTGCAGACGGGGGCTCAACAGAGTCTGTCGACATCGAACAGGACTCGGGAGTCGGCAGACTCTGCTGATCCGGGGTCGGCAGAGCTCGACCGAGCTCCGCCCAGGTCGGCAGCGTCTGCCGACAGGCCTACTGAACGCAGTGTATGCTAGTCTTCAATAAAAGAAAATAATACTCAGGAGTCGGGAAATGAGTGAGGCCTAGTGAGGCTGTAAAGGCTCCGAGAGAGAGAAAAAATGAGGGGAACCGTGAGAAGGCGTACACGGGGAATCGAGCCCCTCAACTGATTTGTAATTTACATGCCACCGCTGTTCACAGGCCCGCGAGGCAGAAAAAATGTAAACAAATGCGGCAGGCGGACGAGGGATTCGAACCTCATGAACTACTTACCAAGAAGATATGATCGGCCCAATGGATTGCAGTGCGCCGCGCACTACGTCCGCTTCCTACGTTCACTTCTTTCGGCTGGACAGAGAGCATGGCCTGAGCGGAAGGCTCGGTGGACCGTCGCAGTGCGCATCGGTTTTGAGCGCAAGGTCATATGCATCGATCATCTGGAGAACCATGAAAATAATACCGGGATTTAAATCAAGATTGATCGCTCGCTTTTGGGCAATCTCAAATCCTTCCATCACTGATACATCCTTTGGGACCGACATCCGCGACCAAGGTATTGACGTGTCCTCAATCTCCGGCGGATATAACTGGCATTAACTGCTGTTGAACAAAGAACGCCGAAGAACCATTGCTCTCACCGCCTTCCGCCTTCCGTTCCACCCCGCTGCGGTCGCACCCCGTCGCACTCAGCCACCAGCCACCAGCCACCAGCCACCAGCCACAGACTCCCACCACCCCACACTACCATCGACCATCCCATTCCTTAAGGCTGCTGCCCGTGCGCAACTCGGCCCCGAGCTCGGCAGTGCGCATCAGTCCCCGCCCGGCCCTGCCGGACTGTCGTTCGTAAGCCATCTCTTGCCTACCGCACGCCAGTTCCCGCGTGAAAAGGCCACGGGTTCAACAGCCTGTACACCGAGTAGACTGCACTCACCGGTTGAAGCGGCTAGCCTTATAAGGAAATAGATAAGATTAGATATGCCTTATAAGGTTAGGCCTAACAATTAGATAGGCCTTATAGGGTTAGGCCTAACCTAAGTGTTAACTCCAAAAAAACAGCGATGTTCGATCAACCCCGATGTCCCCAACATAGGCGCCGTGCTCTTTAATACGCAGTTCATTCAAAGCTCTGTCCTCACTTCTTTCCCCCCACTTTCTCCGACAACAAGAATATGTGCGACAACCCATCCTATGCATTGCAATCTTCGATTTTCATATGGGCACTGTCGCTCATCCCAGGCAGCATCTTCTTCTACGTCATTCTCGCACTAGTCTGCGCATCACTCGTGATCTACGCTGACCACCGCATACGGCCGTCGACGCGCCTCAGCCGACTCAACGAC